GTTTGGCAAATGGAAAGCCAGTTTTTCCAGCACTATTAAAGAAACTGTCTTTCTTTCAGTGAACATGTTTGGCATCTTTGTCAAAGATAAGGTGGCTGAGTGTGTTTGTAGTTGTGGCTATTCAATCTATTCCACTGATCTTCAGGTTTGTTTCTTTTCCAGTATCATGCTGATCTTATCACAGAAGATGCCTCCTGCCTTTCCTTTGTTACTCAGAATTGCCTCTGCTATTCTAGGTCTCTTTTGGTTCCAGATGAATTTTAGGAGTGATTTCTCTAGATCTGTGAGGTATGCTAAGGGTATTGTGATTGGAATTGCATTTAATCTGTATAAAGATTTGGGGAGAATGGCCATTTTCACAATGTTTGTTCTTCCTCTCCATGAACAAGGAATGTCTTTCCATTTTCTGAGATCCTCTTCGATTTCTTTTTTCAGAGTATTGAAATTTTCATTGAACAGATCTTTTACTTCCTTTGTTAAATTGATTCCTAAGTATTTCATTTTTTGGATATTATTGTGAAGAATGTGATTTTTCTTATTTCTCAGTGAGTTTGTTGTTTGTGTACAGGAATGCTATTGATATCTAAGTGTTGACTTTGTCTCCAGCTACATTACTGAATCTGGTTATTACATGTAGAAGTTTTGGGGGTCTTCTATGTGGAGTATAATGATAGTTTAGCCTCTTCCTTTCCTATCTTTATTCTTTTTATTTCTCTCTCTTGTCGAATTGCTCTAGCTAATATTTCCAGCACTATATCAAATAGGAGTGGTGATAATGCACATCCTTGTCTTGTTTCTGATTTTAGAGTGAAAGCTTTCAGTTTTTGACCATTTAATATGATGCTGGCTGTTGGTTTGTCATAAGTGGCTTTTATCAGATGGAGGCAGAGATCATCTGTTCCAATTTTCCATAGGGTTCTTATCATGAGCGAATGTTGGACTTTATCAAAAGCGTTTTGTGCACCTATTGAAATGATCATGTGATTCTTACCTTTGGCTCTATTGATATGGTGAATTATGCTTACTGATTTGAGTATGCTGAGCTATACCTGCAGTCCTAGGATGAATCCTACTTGGTCATGGTGTATAATTTTCTTGATGACTTTGCTCCATTCTGTCTGCCAGTATTTTATTGAGGATTTTTACATCTATCCACACCTATGAGTGTGTCCTTATGTGACTACCAGACAGTTTAATTACTGTAGCTTTGCAAGGTTTGAAGTCAGGAAGTATGATCCATTTACTCTTCTTTAAGACTATTTGGTACTCCAGGTCTCTAAACATTTCCACATGAATTTTAGTTTCTTGATTCCCTTTTTTAAAAAGTCAGGTAGGATTTTAACAAGGATTGAGCTGAGCCTGTGTATCAATTTGAGAAGTACTACAATCTTAAGAATATTACATACATAATTTTTTAAAAAAAATTTTTAAAGAATATTAAGATTCCTAATCCAAATACACATGATAGCTTTTTGTTAATTTAGGTCTTAATTGTTTTGAATGACATTTTATAGTTTGTAGTTTTCTATGTGTCTTATATTCCTCGGGTTAAATTTATTCTTAAGTCTCTTTTTCTTTTTGGTGCTTTATAAGTAAAATCACTTAATTCTGACATATAGAAATAAAAAATTATTTTACATGTTTATCTTGGCTCCTATAAGGTTTCTCACTTCATTTATTAGCTCAAATAATCTTTCATAAATTCATGAGAATTTTATACAAACCATGTCACTGCAGAGTAAATAATTTTTGAAAAGTATAATTACAGTGTGAAGAAGTTCTAGAGTAGAAATCAGTACAAATGATCTGAAGAAAATGTTTTCATTATTCAAATGCTCTTCTGGAAGACAAATTCATTCATACATTATACCAGCATTTGATAGCTCCTTACAACAAAATGTCCTTCCTGGCTTTGCCAGGGAAATCTACTACGTGTTTTTAGCAGTAGTAAAGCGAGAAGCTGTCCTTTCCTGAGCACTATTTTCAAGGGCATGTTTTTAAAATCCAACTTTTTATCCACATAGTTTTCCTGGGTATTGTCTGAATGCCCCAGCATGCCCACCTTCCCCTCTACATCAACCAGTGCCTTTGCTGATATAGAAAGCCCTTCATGTAATTTTACCCCAATGTTTTACAAAAAGGATTTAAAACTGTCTTCTAAAACCGTAAACAGGCTCATAAGGTAGCCAGGGCCATGAAAGGGAGGAAGACACCACCGGGCTGCGAGGAGCACTGTACAGAAATGAGATGGCCTGAAGGAAGAAAGCAGGTCCAAGCGCCACCTCTGCTACCCGGCGGCGTGCACACCAGAGCAGGTTCCCAAGCCAGGCTCCCTTGAGGGGTGATGCCTGCCTTGTACCCCACACACACCCTGTGCCCTCAGAGCACAGCCTCCCTGACCCAGCGGTGGGGCCACTCCTGCCAGCATCCAGAAGCCGACACAGCTGCTCTCACCACTCCCTGAGCCAGTACCACACTTTCCATCAGCAAAGGCAGAAAAGCAAATAATGTGATAAATGTCGGCTCTATTATTAAAAAGGAGAAGCTTCCCATTCTTTGGGCATGATTTTTTTTTTTTTTTACTACTAAAAATCACTTTTTCTCTCGCTAATTGTTCTTTATATCAGAAAAACGAAGTCACATCAACAGTTATACTACATCAGAAGGTTTTACAATAATAGAAGTTGTATTTTTCATTGTTGTTTCTTTATGACAACTTTTTATAAAAATCGAGTACACCACATCTGGGCAGAAAAGGGACTGTGCAGAACTGGCTGCTGTGTTCTGGCCCGGAGCTCCCAGGATCCCAGCTGATAACCGATGGTACTGTAAGCAAGCAGAATGGGCAGGTGATGCTATACCATACTCCTAGTTTAGCACAAGAGAACAGCGCTAGCATATGACTGGACACAAGGAGACACGACCAGTTCAGATTCCTGCTTAGCAGAGGATAAGCTGATCCAAGTCTACAAACTAATTACCTACACACAACTGGACACCTATGTACAGACAAAGGGCTAATGTGCTCACTGCACAGGGAGGAAAAGAGAATCTACACATTTGGATCTGTTTCACTTCCTCCAATCATTAGAGAAAAGAGACAATTTCAGTCATTAAATGAAGCACATCTTCTGCTAGTTGGAGGGGAAAGTGTTTTTCCTTGGATTGAGCAGCACTTGTTAGGATCTAAGGACAGTACTAACTCTGCAATGTACATCATCACCAAATATCTAAAACTGCAGTATCCAAACAACTAGAAAAGCATTTGTTGCCTACTTTTTAAAGCAAGCCTTACATGTAGCCCCAGTATAAAGTCAGAAAGCTAACAGTAAACCTAGAGTAGCACCCAACGGGGTCACCGGAGACCACCCCGGAGCTCTGATCTCCCTCTGAAACACCCTGGGGAGGCCTCATTGGAACCCCCTGGCAGCCAGACGAGTATAGTTTGAGGACCACTAGTGTGGGACTCAGCTAACTCCCAAGCACTCTTTTAGAACGATGCTTTCAACACATTTAAAAGTACTCCTATGCACCCTCATACTGTATATAACATAAATGTTTTATACAACATAAAAAAAACCCAAAACTTAGTTTAAGATATTTAACACACGAAACTGTTAACTCTTGTAAAAACAGTAGGACTAAAATCACTTTAATGTCTTTTATTTTAATTTGGAAACAAAACAACCAGTCACTAATAGTTTACTTTGGTTCAACGGTTTTAAAAGATAAAAAAAATACTTCCCTAGAAGAACTGCATCATTAGATACATTTATGACATCAACATACTAATTTTTAAAGTTTTTTCTAATGATGGAGAAGTCTTGCACACAAATGATAAACTGCCATCTTGCCCATCCATGACTAATCAGAAGGTATTGTTGAACTTTTGTGCTTTTAACGAAAGGGCTTTAAAAATCCACTGGGTTACTGTCTCACTCCTTGGTGGGCATCAGCTGTATTTTCAAAGACTGAGTAACATCCGATGTACTGGAAACGATCTCCTGCTACAGGAAAGCGTCAATGAACGTGGGACAGTGTCAGTAAGACCAGCTGGTATACCTACCTCCCCGGTTCAAAGCTCTCCCTGACCACTGCTGTCTACTGACAGTGCTTTATAAAGACTCTACTAGAGTCTGTCCCAGAGCCCAGCTTGTAATTTTCAATTGTAAAATGGTGTGAAAGTGATACATATCTGCAGAAGCTGTGCTCTGAATTTTAGACGTGGTCCTTCCTTCTCCGGGCACTCTCATAATGCTGAGCAGCAGCTGTGAGCCGTAGCTCTGGGCCATTCAGAGCAAATAACTGGGCAAATTTAAGAATGAAATGAAAACATTCATTCTTTCAGTTTATATTTACTATTTTTTGCAAATAGCTACTACATTGTTAGCACGTTGACCTGACCACTGGCTACTTAGAACGGTTTGTTATTTCTAGGAGCATTGAGATAGTTTCCGAGCCTCTAAAGACCTTGGGCATCGGAGCAACAGACTTAGAGTAAGGCTGGGAAGAGCAGAGAGACACAGGTCTGCAGTGGGGAGCTGTGTTCCAGGCCCAGTGCTGCCATCAGCCCCCCAGCATCTTCCCATGACCCCAGCTCGAGTGGCTCCCTGAGCTGGCAGGCATGATGGTCTGCTCATCCTGAACACAGATCTCGACCCTCTCTTCCCAGTCTGTGCCCAGCATGTGAGCCCCACAGCCTCCCAGTTAATGTCCAGTACCACACAAGGAGGCAGGGGCACAGCCGGCCCCCCACTTTGTTGAGGCTCCACAAGTCAGCCACATATGTGAGGAGAGAGAGAGACAGAGAGAAAGACAGAGACAGAGAGAGACAGAGACACAGAGACACAGAGAGACAGACAGAGACACAGAGACAGAAACACAGAGTGAGAGACAGAAAGAGATAGAGAGAGAGAGACAGAGAAAGATAAAGACAGTGAGAGAGGAGCGAGTAAGTGTCCCTTCACCTAGATACCTGTTAAAGTCACATAAAAACTTACTTGCCAATATTTTCAGGCAGAGACTGCAGTGAGATGTCATTTACAGAGAGACAAGTTAAATTCTGTAATTCAGGAAAGCTTTCTGGCAACCTAGAACAAAAAAATGTTTTTAATTTAAAACAGCACAAATAGAATGACTTCCATATGCTAACTGAAATAGCCTCCTACAAATCACAGTGTAAATAGTATGTTTGCCTTGTTTTCCTGTAAGGTATGCCATTCATAAGAGAAAAAGACTGTCTACCTAACGGGAGCACAATAAATATTTATCAAGTAATACAAAAATAATTATAAAGAGAACAGATATGCAAGTTCTAAAACTAAAGGTGCAAAACATGATATAAGACCTACTAAGTGCTCCTTTCAAGAAATGATAAACTGCTGCTGCAGCTTAAAAGTCCAAAAAATGAAAATATTTTATTGAGTACTAGCCCTCAGGGGTTACAATACAACAATGGGCAGCTGCTTGCTTCCCACGGCTCAGAATACCCAGAGCAAAGGGTTACTTAGACTTGATCAGCTGACAGCCAAGTCAATTGCTACTTGGTCAATTTATTCTCTTCATTCAAGATGTCACTCACTTGAGATAATTATATGTCTCACTATATGCTACACAAAAGCAGTTTTTGTATGTCCCTGAAATCCTACAGAATAGTAAGACTTCAAAATGCACAGCACAATGTGCCTTTCATGGTACACTATTTCAAACTTATAAAGAAATCTTAGTTTCAATATTCCTACAGTTGCAGTATTTAGGGAAGAAAAAAGTCACTAAAGGCAAAAACGCTTTTTGTGTCTACAATAAGAGTCAATACAAATGCACAAATCTGCTAGTAAAGACAATGGAATTATTAAAATGCCACTTTTTCCAGCCAAGAAGATTTCAGTGATAGTCTCTGGAATAGTCTTTCATTTTTCTTTTTCTAGGTTCCTTTTTGAAAAAAAAAAATCCTCTGCTACAGTTTGATGTTTAACATTTGTTAATTCCAGGTTTTAAAACCAAAAGCTAAAACCTAGACCCTCAAAAATCAAGGTATTTCTTGTAACCCCAGCACTTGGGAGGCTGAGGCAGGAGAATCACTTGTAACTCTGAAACCAGCCTGCACTGATCTCAGTCCAGTGAGCCCAAGGCCAGCCTGAACTGTATAGCAAGATCCTTTCTCAAAAAAACAAGGTACTAACTGGAATGTTTATAGTCACTGAAATATGTTCTTAGCAACAGCTAAGTAACAAAGGTAAGGTTTTTTTGCTTAAAATTCAAAAGAATCAAGATATCTGGTCTGCTTCAGTTTTCATAGAAATTATGTATCATTTGATAGTTTTAAAGCTAGCTGAAATGCTCTCAACCATAACGAAAACGTTTTTCATGGCTGGCTTGCTTTTTTGCCAACTGCTGATGTTAAAAGCCAGACTGATGCAATGTGAGGGAGGAAGGAGAGACTTAGGAGAAACAAACTGGCATCAACACCCCACTCACCAGCTGCACACCTTCAAAGGTCAGCCTCAGTTTGTCCCCTTAAAGACAGCGTCCAAGCTAAGTAACTTTTTGGCCCTTTCAACTCACACACTCTGACCTAAATCTCAAAAGCAGCACACCAGCTGCCCCGCAGCAGCTTCTCGGTGAGAAACCTGCTGGCCGTGCAGCAGGTGGAATACCAGGACTGCCTGGTGCCATCTGGGGGTCTCTATTGGAGAGTCCTGAGAGAGGGGTGAGGCCAGGAGCGAGCAGGCTTCAGAAAAGGAAAAATAAAGAGACCAAAATTGAGTTGCTTCCCAGCTGGCCTATCCACTGTACACTGCCTGAAGCTCAGCTCAATTCAACATCGGAGCGCTTTCCTCACCCCAGGACCAGCAGGAGCACCTCGGGGAGCTGCAGTAACAGGTAGCAGAGAATAAGTGACTCTCATTACAGCTGGGGAGTCCTGGTCAAGGGCTGAGCTAGGCACAGTCTCAAGTGTCATGAAAACCTCCCCAGGCAGCCGGAGGCTCCCTGAAGGTGTGAGGTCCAAGCTGCATCTTAATGGAGAGTGACAGGGCCCAACAGTCAAGCAGATGGGCACGGGCTGAGCTAGGGAAAGCAGTCTACTGCCACCAAGAAGTGTCCAGCAGAGGGTTTCACAGCAGTCAGGGCAGAGAGATGGGCTTCGCTCAGGTAGACCAAGGAGGCCTTGGACAGCACATCAGAGGTCTGACCTTGGCTTCCAGGGACAGGAAGCCGCAGAAAGTTTGCAAGACAGAAAATCGTACAAAGATGGGCTAGGAAAGAGGGTCTGACTGAAGACAGTCATGGGTCAGAAAGCAACCAGGTCACAGATTACTATTTTCCAATCACAGAAGTAATTTAATCACTGAAGTTCAAAAGAGCAATAACCAGGCATTTTTTAAAAATATGTTTATCTTTTGAAAGTGAGGAAAAAATGAAATAGGGCATTCATCCAGCACTCCATACCCAAAAGTCCCAAGCAATTAGAAATGGGTAAGAGGAACCCCAACTTTTAGCTTGATCACAAGAGGCAGAGGAGGGGTACCTTTCTGTTGAAGTTGCACACAGATTCTTGAAAAATCCTAGAAACAGACCCTGCGGGCTCCAAGAGACCCTGGGCATCCACTGCCAAGCGCCAACTCTGCACTGCCTACAGACCTAAGTTAGTGCTCCGGTGACACAGTGCCTGGCCATACTCTGGGGGCCCAGAGCCAAGCTGGAGAAGCCAGCAGAGGCTGGACAGTGCTCTGTGCCAGGCCTGGCCCAGGCTGGGAGACACAGGAAGGGCAAGCAGCAGCATGGAACAAGTGACCAGTGGTTTTCTCTGAAGGGACAAACACAAAGAATTCCCCACGGATACCGCAAAAGTAAGGAAATCATCATTTCCAGGACAGGAAGCCGATAGGGCTGATAGGGCTGTACTCTGTCTTTTTAAAGGAGAGTTACGACGAAGTTGAGATTACAAATGTTTAAGTGTAAACAGACCTCTCCCTGGATAACTGCTGAGCAAGCCTCTGTGAGTCTGGGCCCAGCCTTGCCCCGTAAGAGTGGAGAGGGGGACCGGGAGTGCATAACCGTGACCATTCTAACCCTGCTGTGGAACAGAGCTCCTCACCCTCCACAGTGACAGCCTCTCGACCCCTCCAGAGGCACCACTGCACAGCTGCTCCCTGTGCATGCATTCCTAAACAAACACCTGGGGAAAGCAACTGTCCTTGGCAAAGTGTCCATCTAGATACTTCCAAGGCAGGTGACCAGGGTGAGTCCTCTGCTCAGCTCCCAGAAGGATGCCCATGGTATTCAGGAGGGGAGGGTGAGGCGACAGTTACCTGGTCAGCGGGTTTCCACTGAAGTCAGCTACCTGCAGTGCTTTACAGAACGAGATGCTTTCTGGAATCTCAGGGATATCTGCAGGGGTAAAGAGAATGTATCGCCAGGTTAAAATCGCCATCGTTTTCAAGACAGGTCACGTTACAGTGGGCCATCCAGGAATTACTGCTCCCTCCGTGCAAACGTGGCCCAGTGTGTTTCTGCACTTATTCCTGCTTTCCTAACAGAAGTCAGACTCTTAACAGAAAAATATTAGAAAGAATCTCCACCTTCAGGCCACCACCAGCAAGTCCCACGGCCTTGTCACTGCCCAAGGCACCGGGGGATTTCAGTTCTAGCTCCCCCTGGACTTTTCTTGCTATGTATCCACGGGTTATATCAGGATGAGGTATTTTAAAGTAGGACACTCTTAAATTATGGGTCTTCTCCCAGCTACAAACACAGGAACTTGGAAAACATAGAAAAATACAAAGAAGAAAATGAGAAATACTAACACTCTTTTCACCCAGAGATAATTTTATTCTGATGTGCTTTCTTAACTGTCATTTATACACACACACACACACACACACACACATACACACGTGAATGCACACACAAATGACACAATTACACAAAATGTACACAGTTTTGTGAAATATAGTTTGGGTTCGTGATATTTTTCAATTTGCATTATTTCATCAATGTTTTATATCATTTTTCCACACTTTGCCATTCGTAACAGTGGAAAAATACTCTACACACATTTTCAGACTTCATTTAATCAATCCCCTATTGTTGAACATTTAGGTTGTTTCCAAGTCCCTGATGCTGTAATTATATTTATGCCCATTTCAGATTATTTCCTTAGGCTAAGTTCCCAGAAGCAGAATTACAGTGTCAAAGGCATTACATCCCTGCAGAACCTGTTAAATATTAGTAAATTGCTTGAGGGGGTCAGACTATAACAATTCATACTTTCATCAGCCTGGACAAGGTGCCCAATTCAACAACCAAAAAAGTTATTTTGAATTTCTTTTTCTCTTGGTAAAAACCCTGAAACCATAGCTCCCAAGGCTTTAAACTGTCCATTTATAGCAGTTAATTTCAAAAATACATTAATTTTGGACTACCGACATGGAGAAGGGCTACAACGGAACAGGTTCTTCTGGTCGCAAGCAGTTTCTTCTGCCACTTCAGCAAACTCAAGCCAACCCACAGGCATTGACCATTTCTAAACTGGGCGTGGCCAGAAAGAGGGAGAAATGAGGGAGACAGGCACGCCTTGCTCCACTGACCTCAAATAATCAGATGTCCACAAATGCTTTCAGTTCAAATTAAGAAGCTTGAAACACATGACTACGCACTAACACGGGTCTCACACTGCTACCTACCCTTCATACCGTGTAAGACAGTGAAAAACAAGTACTGTATCATGACCTTTTCTTCACAAACACACATACTCTTGTTCACAGTTGGCTCTAGAATGGATTTTTTAAACCCACAAATATTTACAAGCACTGAGGTGCAAATATAGTCATAGCCCCTTTTATAAATATTATCTGTTCCCTTCAAAAATGTATTATTTAGGCCATGTACGGCAATTCATATCTGTAATCCCTGCAATCTGGGAAGCTGAGACAAGAGGATCATAACTTTGAGCCCAACATGTGCAGCTCGGTGACTTAGTGACAGCCATTGCAAAGCAAAGCAGAGCTGTGGATGCAGCTGGGGAGATGGACAGACAGCAGATAGACGACTGTAACTTCCTTTGTACAAGTAAGTACCAAAACTCAGTCCCACAGGGCGGCTTGCTCATCACCACGGGCCTGACCCTCCAACTCGCTGGACATGGAATCAACACGCGTGACCCACACAGCACAGCCCGCCATTCACACGAGTGAGGCAGCCACAGACCATGGGCTCCGCCCCCGTGCCATCAGCGCTGCCCAGCCGGACGCTCCCTGGGCCAAGGGGAGGGGGTCTACAGAAGGCTGAGAAGAGAGGCCGCACAGTGCTGGGGAAGAAGACTGAGCCACACAAGCAGATGTAAATTCTATCGGAGTGTGCTGCTCTGTGCAACAACAGAAAAGCAGCTGCTGGGGTCTGACAGGAAAAAAAGACAGAAGTGTACAGTGCTACTCAGAACAGCGGAATCGCAGCTGAGGATGAGAAGATGAGCAGCCAGGAGCTGAGCGGTCGGAGTCGTGGAGGGCCCAGACTGCTGCAAGCAGACAGAGACCACCAGGCCTGCGTGCTGGAGGGCACCCCACCCCACCCCTGCTGCAGATGCAAATGAGGGCAGAAACAGAACCAGACACTTCCTTCCACCATTCGCATGTTCTTAACTCCACCCTTTGCACATATTTGCCCACTGAATAAGAGTGTGGCTTAGGGTACTGGCTACTGGTGTGTGCCACAGAAATTACTAAATGCATCAGAACAGTAAGTGAAAGTAGGAAAGAGAACAGCAACTCACCTTGAAATACACTGTACTCTGCTGACCGTCACCATCCCAGGAGCACTGTCCGGGGCCGTGAGATTAGTCTGGCTTCCTCACTCTGGAACCCAGTGGGTTTTAAAAGATCTCTTACAATGGTCATCACATACTGTGTGGTCAGCTGACTGCGCTGAACCCCAGGCTCACTGGGAAGAGACCATATTGGCCTTGCCAGAACACTGAGAATCCAGCACTGCGAATCCTCACCTGGACACCCGCTCCTTTGCTGAGCCGTTAGCCACCCTGCAGGGCAGGTGTCACTTGCACCTCTGCAGTGAGGAAGCGGCTTAGTCCCACCCCATGCAGGAGAAAGGAAAGCAGGTCAGTCTCAGCGGGAAACCTTAGCTGATGGCCCAGTGCTCTGCTGGGGACAGACATGAGGGAGAATGACCTCAGCGAGGCCTGCTCTGCTCCCCTACCTTCTCAGAATGCTCTCTTTGAATGCCACCTCCCCCCAGTGTGATGCACCCAATTTCCAAATCATTTGGATATTCTGTAATTACTCCTCCCACCCTTCCTGTCCACTCCTATTGTGATTGGCCTGGCTCAGGTCTCAGTCATCCAGGTGACGACAGCACCCTTCCAAATGTCAATAGCATCTGGGGACTCCTCCATCAACCTCACAAAGCCATGAGAGCAGGAGCTGTGCCCCTCTTGCACATTTACAAGGCATGAGCACTAGGGAACTCAGCCTCCACTTCCACACGTGTAACATGGATCACCCACCGCAGATCTTTTAAGTCACGCTAGCAGAACATAATACAGATGCTGCAAAGTTCTGAGGAAGGGGACCGCCAGCAAAGAAGGACTTTGTTATGCTCTGAACCAGCTAAGCACACAAAGAGCCCAGGCAAAATGACACCTGGTGCCAAGAGAGGAGAGGGTGTGCTCAAGGCAGCAGTGTACTGGCCACCGAGGCCTGCCTGTCACCTTGGAGTCTGCGTGGAGAGAGGGCTGGGAAGATCTCTGATGGCAGTTTCCCCGCAGCAGGTACGGCTGCCGACAACAAATGTGCCAGGGAAGGGCTCCTTCTGGTATTAAAGGGGGTCCAGTGGACACACAGTCAGCTGAGGGCTGCTCTCGGGGTAAAAAGGCCAAGCAAACTGAAGAAGCACAGAATCGTCCATGGAGACAGGACTCGAAGGGTTTCTGCTACTGGTTCAGTGATCTGAGAAGCAGTAATGATCCAACCCTGCATAAGTACCCGTTTCCATGAACAGGTCAGACATATTTCTTATCACTTACTTAGTATTATTATATACTACTATATCACCAGTAATGAGACTACCTTAGCACTAGTCACGAGGTTTTCGTTACTTACTAAGCTATGCAACCCAAAGCAGCTACTTGCTGAGACAGCTGACAAAAAAGTTGGCCATGAAGGTACAACAAACAAACATTTTGCATCCTAGCTTCTATATCCTCATACCGTGTTCATCCCATATAAACCCCAGGACACGATCACACTTTCGCCTTGGCTGTAGGCATGCCATCCAGACTGAGGTGGATCCCGCCAGTGCAGCAAGCTCCAGGCCACCAGGAGCGGGGAGGGCTGTGGTGAGCATTGTCACAGGGTCAATTCTAACTAACGCACCCCAGGCCCTTGGGGAGGCAGGTGTGAGGCGCAACCACGCAGCAGGCCCCACGTTCCTCCCCACTGTGATCAGAGCAGAGGGGGAGCAGACGCCTGCAGAGCTGAGACTGCAGTAGCTCCCGCCACGCATGCAGCACCACCAGTCATGACGCAGGCAGGAGGCAGGTACTCAAAGCCGAGCTCCTGAGGCTGGAGGAGGAGGAGGAGGAGGAGGAGAAGAGAGTTTGCGGGGCTGCAACCGAAGCCTGGCGCCATGCAGAGGGGCTGGCAAGACCCTAACAAAGCTCCTCTTTCTGGTCTAAGTGCAGGTTCTCTGTGGGCCTCAGCTCCTGGCCTGTATGTGGGATCCTGGCACTCTGGCCCTTTTGCTGATGCCCCTAACGCATACCACAGAGATGGCACCGACCAAAGGAGGCACCGGCCCAGGTCAGCCTCTTCACCTGGTGAGAGTGAAGGTTGTAAATGCAAATACACGGCAAAAGGGGAAAAAAGGAATGAAATCATATACTTCCGTTTGATGTTTATAATTTTAATTGACTAGCACTGATTGTAAAATTAACTTTCCCTTAACCATCTCAAGGCAGCCTTTCAGGGGAACCCACCCACAGCTCCCGTTCTGTTCTTTTCGAATGAGAACCACTTTCCTGATGAGATTTAGGGCATGGGGGCCCCACCCACTCCAGTTTACCAACAACCACTCCACAGCAACTCCCTACCAGGGCTTGGCCTGAGTGCCTGAGTTCTCCACCTGAGCAGACAGGCAAAGGCTCAGCACCACTTGCCAGAGACTCTGGAGCCAGAACACAGCCTTCCTGAGGGACAGTGTTATCCCATGAGAGACTTAAAAGGACATCCTCGCCCTCCCGGACACTTGGGATCTTTCCTCAGCATTCATTCTAACACAGTGAGCTGAGATTCCCCGACATGCACTTGGATCAGATGCTTCTGTAGAAACTCAAGCGTAGGACATTTCTCAGGAGCCCATCAGCATCTCAAGGACCTCCT